CGCATGCCTCCCGGTCTTATTCCTTCGGGTTTACACTGGATGTGGGGTGTGTGGATAGATCTGTGCGTGGTGCAGCGCAAGCCACCCATGGCCCCTCTGTAGGCGCAGGCCTCCTGTGGCTTGCCACAGTGACAGGTAAATCCGAAACCAGATGCCACCAACCACGTAGCTAGAGCTGCAAGGTGCGTTCATGTCAAGCTAGGACTTTTTTTCATAAATGTGGATTTCAGGTGGAAACTGTATTTGTTTTTCTTTATTCTGCCCTGCTATAGTCACTCTGTTTTCACAGTATTTCACTGCTAAGTAGTAGGCTTCGACTTGGAAATTTGTCAGTATGCCTAAATCAGTTCGGAACAGTCTGCCTCGCTTCAGAAAACTGTGGAAATGTTGCTCACCGAGGAATTCTTTTAGATGTCTAAACAGGTGTAAATTTTTTGAAACAATACGATGCGGTTCATGCGTCCCTTCACTTTACTGCAAACTTCAACATCTTTCTCGAAATCCATGTGACGCCTACTTTCGGAACGGCAGACAATCCTAACTTACTGTGTTTACTATTATTGACGAAATACTAGATGGGGTTTTAATTCTGGGGCTAGTTTTCCCGTGATTGTCAGTGATAAGCGTTGAAGTTTCCAAGAACTGCAGTTGTGAGTTGGAATCTACCTGGATCACCATTGGCAGTCCTGTGCGTCTGTTTGCAACAGTCACTATTTACACGTATTACTGCGATACTGTGACATTTGCCTTACGCAAGTTTCAGCTTGTCTTATGCCCTGCTTCATTAACATTTTCGTCACAATAACCTGTTCCATCTACGATTTCACTCTGTTGTCTACCCTTCTGGTAGTAACGGAGCAGTTGCCAGCTCCTACTGGGTTCATGATTTCACCTTGTGTTTACACTATAAACTTGGGGAAATGCTTCCGGATTGAATTGAAGGACCCATATAAATGCCCTCCTTGCGTCAAGGGCGAAACCTTACCACAATAAAAACCTACAAAACTGATTTGTGTCCAGAACCTTCTGAAATCAAAACCTATTGCATGTTTTCCAATCTGATATTTTGCCTATTTGAATGAACTTCGCGGGAACTCCCTTCTCGATCAACTGTTTTGTTTGTGAGAGCTGCAAATGCATCGTATTGTGATTGTATTCGAATCAAATGACACCTATCAAATTTTAGTTTCTCCTACCTGACCATTTGGGCACATGTGAGCCGGAGAGTCATCCTTCCGTCGATGAACTTGTTCCTGTTATGACTCAGCTCTATTTACTAACAGGTGATCAAACGCTGTGGTTATCCATCTCTGTACGATACCGCTGCAAGAATAGGACTGCGTTTTCCTGGAGGACCTGCAACTCACCTTGTTCGACTTCACTCTTCTGCTCCACTCTTCTTTTTCTCTATGTTTCTTGAACCCATCATCTTGAATTCCACACAGCTGAGGGTAATGGATTTATATTTGGAACCATCTCCCCGGTTCGTTATTGTTGTTTCTGCGATTAAGATATCTCGCACTGTCAAGTATTGTGTCCGCTGGCGGCCGTGTGATCTTCACACGTGGCTTACAATCATAAGGTCACCGGTTCGAATGCGCGTAGGTGCGGGTATCCTTGCGGTATGCTCAGCCCTCGCGCGACTGTTGGTTGTCGCGCAACAGCGAAGCGCCGTCACGATGTTCAGCTGACGATTCATTCATTTTCATCGTCACAAGAATTGTACATTGTTTTTTTACACTTCCGTGGTGTTCGTATGTTTGATTGCGTCATCTGATTCATTCTACTATCGGCTGTCATATTTTCCAGGATGTGGGGACAAATTCCCAAACTTAAGGTCTTCTAGTAGGCCAGGTTAACTGTTACTTGTTACAGCGAACCCACTTTCTCCAGAGATGCATATTTATTGTCCCTAACAGTCACGGTATGCGCAGCGCGCTAGCGGACCTTTTGGCGCCAGCATTCGAAACGCGCTTCATCGTGATCTTTTATATGATAAGTGCGTTTCCTATCTCAGGATAAGCCTGTCACTGTATTTACGCATAGGCGCAGGAAGCCTTCACCTACAAAGCGACCATGACTAGCTTGCGCTACACCACCCACATCCACTGTAAACTCGAAGGCATAATATTGGAAGACTCACGCTTCTTCGACAGGCGCATCATTCATTTGTATCGAGGGAGACATACATACTAGATGTAAACATGGCGGTGGCTTGGCTGTACCTGTTGCCGAACTGGATGAAACCACTTTTTGAACTTAGCGCTGGCTCCCCCAGCAACGAGTAACAGTTTCTTGTAGCCAGAAATCCATGTGGCAGCTTTCGACAGCTAGACACCTTGCACACATTCGCTCCAAGTACAACCAGACCAGAGATATTAATCAGCAAACATTTACAAGGAATGCAGCTAAATACGCAGGCAGGCGTACAGACCAACGAAACGATGATGTATCACAAGTGCCACATGTCCCACATTCTTTGTCTGCGTTGTAAATGGAACCGAAAGCAATTTGCATACCAAGCGTTGTCGCTTACTCGTTAAACTGACTCGTTGACTCTTCGCTCTTTGTCCTTCGTGGCCCCTGCAACGTTTTCTCGTTAACCTTTGAACGTTTGTTCAAGACGTACTCGGAGTCCCTGCGCCACGTATGCGTGATATTCACAGACTATGTGTAGGCAGCGCTGGACACCATGCCCACCAGTGTCCTCTTAAGCTCCAACGTGGGTCCATACACTTTTAAGTAATCGGAGAATTCCTCTTGTCGGCTTTAGGCGTAACGTTCCATCCGCCCGCAATGCATTCTTGATGCGACGGAGCACCTGAATCAACCGCTGACGCACTTTACGAAATCTACTCATTTTTCTGCATTGTCGGGATCCTCCGCAATCGTAGCGAATGCTGCATTCTTCAACACCTGACATTTGGCAGATTGTCACAACATACACGTAAAAACCATAAAAGTTGAGGGAAGAAAAACAATTTGGTACGATTTCCGACCATATCAGATAGCTTTTCCAACCAGATATGCTCGCTGTCCTTGGGCCATCAACCCGGGAATCGGGAACAGCGCACTACTGTCAACTGTAGCGTCAGCGCTTTTACACCCCCGACTAATGTGTGTTGGCCACCTTCCGCATCCGCTCAACACTGGCACATCCAAAGAGTGTGCGGCGGGGAAACCACTGAACAGACACGCGAGGCACGTACTCGAGCCACTGAAGCACGCACGATGGAATGGTACAGCACAGTGGTCGGAAGAGTCTGGTTTAAAAATCTGACGACAAACGTCATCATTACTAGTGTGATACCGCCAGCATACACCAGGGATGCTCCAGAGGCAATGGTGATTAAAACCGAACAGTCTCTGAACATCGTTCTCGCCAATGGAGCAAGTCTCGTAGCCATGATGGATCATTGTTCGTATTTTAGTATTGTGGACTAGACCTTTCAGTGGAACCTGTGATATCACTGGCACCAAAGGCATCAGAGGTTGTCGGGTCGGAAATCTGAGCGATCACTCTTGAAGCTAATAACGATGTAACCTTTTGGCTATAACCCGCATTACTAATGCCATCGATACGTGTACAATTTCTACGAGCAGAGAGCTCATAGCTTTACTACCCTACGTTTGATAGAGATGTTGTTTTGAAGCACTCGTGTGATTGGATTGCGACGCGCAATCTCATTGGGAACTGCGATTCACTCTGAAGTGAACTTTGGCCAATTCGATTACTGGGACCGTAACTGATGAAGCAGATGTATCTTGGGTGTTACCCACCCGAATTCATTTATCTTATCAGGTAGAGGTAGCAGGCACTCGAACCCAGGGTGTTTGGGATGCCAGCCGGAACCCCTGCCGCCAACCTGCCGAGTCGCGCCGGACAACGCTTGTCACACTGGTTAATGACTGGTTGGACGGTCATGGAGTGCATTGTTTTCGGACGGACAACACCCAATATCCATCTACCGTTTGTTTGCTTCGCATATGGTTGGTCACCAACGGAGCTTCTGCTTACTATGTCCAAGCGTTGGAGCTCAGAATTGCACTGACTTCGTAACTGGCATACGATGACTGCGCTCTACACTACTTGTGTCGGCATGCTGATGAGCTGGTCTGCTCGTAGGTCGCATAAATAGTAGCTGTATACAAACCACGTTGACACTGAGCTTGCTGCGTAATAGATGCAGTCGTTTCTCGGTTGATCTTTGCGCATTTTAGTTCTTACAGCAATCTGGCTTTCCCGTTAACGAACGATGTTGGCGGTCGTGCGCATTTCTCTTTTTTTCGTCCGTGTTACTGGCATTCGTCGATGTTTTATTTATCGAACCGTTTTTGTAACAAGATCGCCTTAAAATGCGTATTGATTGTTACGAGTGTCACTGTTATGGCACAAGCATCGTACTATCGTGTCATTGGTTACTAACTTTATCCTGCCTACTTTGACAGCCCCGGAGAAATGAAGCGTGGCGCTTATGTGACATCTTTTTGTCTTCCAACTGAAGCCACTCCGGTAACTTTTGGCTAGCAGATACTTGTTCACAGAGAAGACCTCTGGCACACACAAATGTGGAGCTTGAGAGACGACATTATTACGTAGTTTCACCCCTACATCTTGTTTCATCAGTGCGCCGGTATTTTGGTCGGTTCACCTGTATAGCTGTCCCGGCGACCGTGTGCGGATTGAAGTACGCAACATTAACTTATTTCGATTGGCTACGAACCGTTTACTGTGACACCTGTAACTTTCTGGTTCGGTTGATTGCGGTTTGTGTCATTGTGCTTGCCGATATGCGCCACTACGCGTTAGCTCTGTTCTTGATGTGCAATTATGAATTCTATCAAACCTCTCTAGTAGGCAAATCACTATGAACTTGTTGTCTGGGCTCGTGGTCGAACTTCTTCATACTCACGTAGCATTTGGCTGGCGCAGTTTTTCCTCTGCACTTACGGTCGTCCCCTAATACCATGCTTATCAGCAGTTTACCTATCCACTTCAGACGGTCTCGGTTCTCGCACCGCACAAAGATCCACCGCTCGAGGTTCTCGAAGACTCCGATCTTGCTGGCCCCCTGGTGTTCTGTCTCATTTTCGGTTTCACTCTATTACTGGTGAGTGCATTTTGGTCTTTTTTTCGTTGTATAGCTAACTGTCTCACATCGACATGTACACACTTCCTTACTGGCTTACTATACGCTTGGCAGTAACTCTGATGACTAGTTCCAAATTTATATCGTCCATGCCAATAATTTTCCATATGTTCACAACTTTTGAACAAATATTGTGCGTACGCGTAACCAAATAGGTGTTCTTTACAGATACCTAAACCTTAACTTTCTGAAAGGCTTGAAAACAACCCACCGGTTTTTTTCAATTTTTTCTGAAATCGTGAGTTCTCACTCAGTTCTGAGCATTTTTCAAATGTTGAAATAAATCTTTTATTTCTCGACGGTGCGAAAGACTGCCGCTGCATAGGGACAGATAAGTTGCTATACAGTTTTTTCACAAATGATGTCGCCTTATAGGAGACCGTAGTGGAGTCCATCCAACATATGAGGTGGGATTATGTATGCTGTTACCTGCATTACTGTTCCACACATCCACATTGTTCTGAGATAAGGGCAGATTCTGTTAGTGTGGTTTCTCCTGTTTATAGAAAGGTTACCTTACCTATCTTCGTTGGCTGTTGTTCCATTGAAGTAAACCGGCGCAGTTTGACTAGAAAACGGAATTGCTACTTTGTTGGCCAAGTCAGTATTACAATTTCTGGCTGATGCTCCTTCCTTCTCCTTCGGTCGATTTCAACGTGTGCATAGGTTTCAGTTCATAGTGGACTCCGGGAGTAACTAACAGAACAGTTGTATCAAAGTAGTCAAGAAACGGCTTCAGTACCTAGCCATCCTAATTTTTTCGGTGACATGACATCAACGGAGGTCAATGATCCACTGACTGCGCTCTACTAACTCTAAAGACCCAGGTGAATGTCCAATGGATGAGCAGCCATGAAGAACTCAACGACGGAAAAAGCCGCGAATCGAAGAAAAGCTTCCTGCTACCGACCAACAACAGTCCAGATCAAGCAAGGATGGAGTCCACCCTTCTCCCACAGGAACCACTTTGAATGACTAGAGACGATCAGATTTTGTGGTTTTTCACGCGCCTGAGTCCAACGATCCAAATCCTCAGGTATGCTATAATCATGAGGTAGGGTTTTTGAAGAGTCTACTTGATGCAAGTCATTCCCCAGGGCAAAAACACTGCTGAGAAACACGCCGACCTGTGCAGGTAATTTTTTACCGATCAGACCAGCCCGAACTAATACTAACTTGGCTAAGTAGACTGTGCGACGGTAAGGTGCGTATTCGTCTGGATATCGATCCAGACGACCGGGATCGCCTCAGTTGTGTCAGCATCGAGCTAAAGCGGTGAACTGGTATCGGATGATTACAGCACGAACGCGAATTCGGATAAATCGGTCATTCACTCTTCAGGCACGCACGGTAGTTCTTACCGCACCCTGCGTCTAGTCTGCCGATGTCTGCAGTCTTATAACGAAGCGCGATGAGCTATGTCGTTTCGTTGCTTTCGAGTGACCAGTTATAATGGGACTCGCAGAGACGGGGTCGAACGATGAGGTGTTCACCCAGAATATTGAGCTTAGTGGCTACTCGTGCTTCCGTTGTTTTAGGCTAACGAATGCCCACAAGGGCGTCTTGCTCTACACCCGGTCTTCTCTGTGTGTGAGACTCGTGTGCGCACATCGAAGCGAAGAAAGCCTATGTGAGCAGTTGTGGAGCTCCATCCACCTCAAGCGCGGAGAACTGTTCGCGGATGCGTTCTGTCACAGTCCATTGAGTCATTATTTGGATTGCCTGCCACATATCCAAAACCACATAAGTCGCCGTCATTTTCTACTCATAGGAGATTTTAATTATCCTCGAATAAGCTGGCCTGAAATTGAACTTATCAACGGTTATTGTGAGTCCGCAGCAAAGTTCACTGGGGCTCACAACACATCTTCTGACTGACACGCATAACGCTGCGCTCAACTCCATCGTACTTAGACTTGATGTTAACCAGCTGTGAACAACCTGCGTATGATATTCGGATCCTGGAGCAAGCCAACATGGAGCTGCGGCTGCAGCAATCCCGTGCACTGCAGCCAGATTCCAACTACTAGAAGACGGATTTTGATGGCATGACTCGAGCTGTGTGCCCGGTGGATTGTTTTTGCCGCAATCTGCATCTGCTGCAGCTTGGTGGTCTGTTATAAGGAATGGATTACACTCATTGTGTAACTAATTTGTGCCTCTCAAGTGTCGGAAAGTTGGGCCGGTCAAGTCACATTGGTTCGACTAGGATTATAGTAATATGGCTCAGCAGCGGCGCAGGCTGTGGGACAAATTCCTTATCTGTTGCTCGGTCGATGACTGATATATATAAAAAGCAGCGAAATATTTGCAATAGTGTGAGACCGAGCAAGCGCAGGCATTTCGAGGAGCAGCTTGCAACCGGATCAAAAATCACTCCGAAGAAAATATTTGCATGCGTGAAGCGGCGCTTGGGGCCAACAGGTAATCTACCGGTGATAAAGGACGCAAATGGACAGCCCCTAACCTCCAGCACTAAGCATGGATTCATCCTTTGCGGCGCACTTAGGTTCTGTGGTTGCAAATGACCAGGTGTCTGTACCGAGTTCGGCGTGCACCACTCTGGATTATGGTGTGGAAGAGGTGTTTCAAATACTCGCCAATCTTGATGGAACCAAGGCTTCTAAATCGGCTAGGCCTTGTCGGTTATCATCTTGCCAACCTGTTCAACAGGTCTATGTCCAAAGGTTCATTGCCGATGGATTGGAAATGCTCGGTGGCAAGGCCGATTCCGAAAGGCAGTGACCCCAACAAAGTAGACAACTACAGGCCAATTTGTCTGACGTCTATTTTGACCAAGGTTGAAGAGAAGATTGTGAAGAAGCGTTTACTGCAGCTGTTCCAGTCAAAAGATCTCGTGACACCCGCATAGCATGGTTTCATGCCAGGTCGTTCATGCATCACCAATCTGTTCGTGACGAGGCATGAATGGTTGCAGGCACTGGACTAGTGGAAGTCTTTCGACGTGACTTACATCGATTTCAGCAAAGCGTTCGACATGATGAACCATGAGCTCCTCCTCCTCCTCCTCAAGCTGAGAGTGTGGGGTGTTGGTGGTTCTCTGCACCAGTGTATCCAAGACATTTTCCTTTTACGAAAGTGGAGGGTGCCTGATCGACTGGTATCCTTCGACCAGTGGTGTACCACAAGGCACGGTGCTGGGGCCTACTTTGTTCCTCATTTATATCAACGACCTACCTCAGCTTCTTCATTCACTGTATGCCCTTGTTGCAGAGGACCTGAAGATGTAGAAGTGGTAAGCATATCCGACGACTGCAGCTTATTTCAACAAGACCTAAAGCGCCTTGCCATGTGTCTTGCAAAGTCCGCTTCCCGGCCAACCCATCCAAGTCGGTATTCATGAGCCTGGGGAAGGGTGCTGACGACCGAACCTGCACTCTCAACGGCCAACTGCTACATCTCACACCTCCGTGAAGGACCTATGAGTACTCTCACGTCCGTGGACAACACGCACAGGCTATATCGTAACGGACTGCATGCTATAAGCGATCAAACGCGGCTTCTCTACTTCGTCTGAAGAGGTAGCCACTCGTCTCTTCTCCGTCATCAGACCGATGGTTGACTGGCTGACCCACCTATTGCCGGATTACTCGCGGCGAGGCGCAGCAGATTGAACGGATTCGACACGTCGCTACCAGGCTCATCCTCAGTTTACAAGGCTTAACGTACGAAGAAAAGTACTAGAGGCCGGGACTGTACACCCTGGCCTGTCGTCAGTTGTGGGTCGACCTCATCATGACCGACTGAATTCTACATGTAGGCAATTTCCCCATGCTAAGGCCACTGCTCCACTTAAGAACGCCTTTCAGCACATGCGGACACCAGTACAAGCTTGTGGTTTCAGATCTGAAACGAGTTCCCCATCCCCTGTGCTTGGAACAGCGAGTGGTAAAGTCTAGAATGGTTTACTGGAACACATAGTGGAAGCGAATTCAGTGCAGCAGTTCAGACGATCGTCGGATGTGCATTTATCAAATGTTAGATTCCGAGAACAATTACCAACTACCATTTGTGAGTCCTAATCTACTTTGAGTTAAACGATTTTTTAACGATATCACAGAACGCGAAAAACGATCACAGTTTTGACAAGTCATGGTTTACGTTTTTGACGTTTTTTTAATCATATTTTAATGGAGTTGTACAAATTTCGAATTGCTCTCAATACAGTATTCAATAAAAATAGTTAAAGTAGGAATGTCTAGCAAAGGCGAATTCAAGAGGATAGACAACAGAATTTGCTTTTTGTACTTTCTGTTAGCAGTCGATTTTGTACGTCTAAAAATGCAGCATTATGCTGAAAATCCTTTCTCTGTGTGAAAAATATTCAGGAATGAAAAAGGAACAAGCGAACGAGAATTCCACAAAGCCTGTTGAGTCATTCTGCGGCAACTCAAGTTGAATGCTTTTCTGCTGCGTTACCCACTCAGTTGCATGCTACGGAAGGTCTAGTTCCTAACTGTATTTTGTCAGTTGCTCTGAATGTATTGAAAGGAAAAGAAGCTCGTTAACAGAGCCTCATTGGTCTGTAAATTGACGTTACAATGGACACTTCAATTAGTAACTGTAATCTCTCCCCATCCTCTTCTTCGGATCTTGTCACATTCGGTGTTTCTCCAGTGTCTCCCAGACCGGCCTGTGGCCATAAGGATCACAAGCCTGCTTTGTCACCTGACGGCGCGGGTTTGAACCTGCGTAGAGACCGGGCGACCCTCGCATTATCTTTAACCGACAAGCGAATGGTGGTGGTTGTGCGGTAGCGAAGCGTCGATACTTCATACTTGAAAGATTGACCGGATAGGACGGAGCCAAGGCATGTGTGTATCACTGGATAGACGCGCTACCAGTTAGGGACCAAATAACAGTATTACCAATACTTGCTTGCGACGTATCATACAGGTCTTTTCCCATTGCTGTCGTGATCCATCAGATTGTTCCATCCG